TCCTGGTATTTATCTTGGGCAGTTTGCATTTCATTCAGTAGGAAGTCTATCTCCTCACACCCCAGGAGACACTGAAAAGTTTTGTTTCCCACATGATATCCTGCACCAGCTGCAATGGTAAGTAGCAAGAGCTGTGTGTCTCGCTGCTCTGTTTCTTGGAGGAAATTCAAGAAGCAGCCAAGAGACAAGCTCACGTTATAAGTGGCCTTTCTTTGAGCTTCCTCCACTGTTTCTGCAGACTCAGATTTGGACTTCACTTCCCTGAGGTCATTCTGGGTTTCCTTTAAGATTTTAACTAATTCAGAAAACTCAGTGATGTTCCTGTGCTCTTGCTCTGACTCTGGCTGGAAGATCCACTGCATGATGGAATGAGCCTGAGGAAAGTTTGTCACTCTGTAGATGTGAGGGTCCAAAAGGCTGCGCAACTGAGATTTAATAAATTTGGTTTTATAAATGGAAGACTTTTTGCAAAATTTAACAGTGTTTATCAGAAAATTCTGCAGACCCCAATCTCTGAGGCATATGTTAATCCACGTATCATAACTTTTAGTTTTTTGACTCAACATTTGCATAAAATTGATCAGTTTTTTAAGCTGCTCTTCTGGGTCAGAAACGTCCCAGGATTTCACGTCCTCTAGGAAAACCCTAGCCTCCTTCCCAACACTCAGTAATTCTTCTCCATCCTGGATCTGGGCGGTGAGGCCGTTCAGAGCAGTGTAGCTGTCTTTCATTGCATTAGCTACCTGAAGAGGATCCTTAAAATCACTTCTGTGGTTGGAGAGGATGATGTCCCAAATGGGCACCAGCTGAAGTCCCCGGTCAATGACACACCAGGTTTGATTACTGGCAACTAGGCCAGCTTTCCACTGGAAAAAGCTATTTGCTTCTGGTGGGCCACCTGTGTGGGCCACAGATAGTTGGACTTTGGTTTGGAGATTTTGGGAGGTTGTGCTTTGGGAGGATGCATTTGAATGAGAGCCTGACACATCCACACCTGCAGCTACTTTCACTCCAAAGCCACTGTAGCTGCCACTTATGTAACTATTCAGGGACTCTGCTGACTGCTGTTTCACCTCTGCCAGCTGCTCACTTGGGAAACCCTCTGAAATGGCTTTCCACCAGTAGATTCCTCCCAGGTGCAGAGGGCCCTGGTTAGCATGAGAGCCAAACCTGTGGAAGAAAGCTTGAGTTCTGTGCTTTAGCAAGAGGGCTCTTTCTGGGTCTGCAGGCTGATCCAGAAGGTATTCAATGCATTTCAATTCCCGGAGAGCAGCCTTGGAGAACTGGAGCTGATCAATGGGAAAGTGAAAGGAGGCGAGTGGGACATAGCTGAACTTGGTAGAGCAGAAATACGAGTGCTCAGAATGTGAGTGATGAGTTTCCTTGGATTCTGAATGTTTGCTGTGATCCGTTCCAGTTTCTAAGCTAACTCCCCCACCTCCACCCTTGGCTGAAGCAGTTACACTGAAGCGCAGCTTCTCTACTGCCTGGGTGAACACAGCTTCTGCTTGAGAAGATGTAAATTCCTTTGTTTCCATTCGTGTGCCCTGCTCAGGGCCATAGAGTGAGAACTCCTTAGGGACACTGAGTAACTCCTGCCTCTTCTCTATAAGGTCCCTTTGGTAGCTGGTTTTGTAAATTCCCTGCAGGGCCAGTCCTCCAGATGCCCATCTCACCAGATCTCTATCTGGGAGGTTTTGCCTGTTGGATAGTGTCCCCTCCATGAGGTTGAGTTGTCTCTGCATGTTTTCCATGACCTCTCTTAGGTACTTTTCAGGGGGTGGCCAGCACTCTTCGGGGATTTCCATCACCTGCCTCAGCTCTGCCTCTTTTTTCCTCACTGCGGCTTCCTGTTGTTGTCTGCCTTCTGACAGCAAATTTTTTAGCTCCTGCAGCACTTGCTCTGCCTTCTTTTGCTGTTTCTTTATCATTGCCACCTGAGATTCCTGGAACTCTGAAAGGCTATTTGAGTGTGACAGGTGAAGCAGCTTCTCCAGGGCCCTTTTCTCCCAGGGATACTGTGCCTGGGATTTCAGCTGCTGAAGGTCTTTGTCTTCTAGGTGTTGTAAGGCCTGGACACAGGTCACACCCAGATGTTCCTGCAACTTGGGCAACCAGTACTCAACTGCCAGTCCTACTTCTCTCAGCATCTCTTTGAGATCCTGCCTTTTTTTGCCTCTGAGAAGGGGCTCATCAGCGGTGGTCTTTGCTGTGTCCATGGCTGTGAAAAGAAAAAATACTCAGTTAGCCTGTGTCATGCCCTAAAAAAGTGTCAGCCACGTGGCCACAGGGTGAGTGTACTAAAGACGCAAGTCTTTAAGGCTTCCTAATCCCTTCCTTTCACTATTCCAACAAATACATTTTAACACTGTTTTAAAAAGTGTGTGTGTGTGTGTGTGTGTGTGTGCTTGCATGTGTAAGACATCTTTCTAGGCGTTCTGATTATGTACTGACATTCTAGTTGCCAGGGTGAATTGCAACTTAAAAGCCTGGCTTTTTACACTTCCTATTACACAGAATCAATTGCATGGAGAGCGTTATGCTGAGAATTTCTTTTGAAAATATATATGGTTTGATAACTTGATGTTTATTTTAAAAACAGAGTGGGACCACCAATTATCATTCCTCAGTTTCTCTCAAACCTGTGTGAATAGTGTTCTTCTGTCTGTGACTCCTTCTCAGGACCTTTTGTGTTATTTATTTACTTTCCTATCCTTTAAAATGTACTTCTAGATGTTAGCATCATGGTTTCAGATCTTCTTCCTTTTTGTACCACTTTTTTTTTTTAAAGATTTTTATTGGGGAATTGTGTGAGAGGAACAGCACTGAGGAATCAGGGGTAGAGGAACAGACAAGCTGCTGTCATTTTGTTCTTTAGTCTAGTTGTGGAAGA